GGTCTTGAAGCCGAGATACAAGCAATTCTCCGTTGATAACATTTGATCTTTCGACTAATTTATTGGCTGTGGATGCGAGCACCTAATCTGGAGATAAATTTGTCCCTCCGTCTCAGTTCTTAGGTCGAAAGCGCGCGCCGCACATTCCCGGCGTCTTATCGCCGTATCCATTTGTATGTATTGTTGCCACTTGGCTCTCACCCGTGAATGCCGCCGTGACGGATTTAACGCAGGCCATCCCAATAGTAAAAAAATGTAGAGCAGGTAAAAATTTGGCTCCTCGTAAAAATTTCCATTCTGTTCTGGAATTCCGTACCTCTACCTGGACTCATATACAGTGTAGTACGCAGATTTCTCTTATCGATTAGATCGTAAGGGGACCAAGACGGCACATTTTATCTGGTTAGAAGAATTTAGTCGGACGATATTCCTGCAGTCGTCTTCATCTTGCGATTGGGGCACGCAGAGCTTGGAATGGTTATTGATGTCATTATCATTGTGTTCGAACTTGTGATGTGTTACACGCTGCCACCGCCGTTGTCGTCGTAGTTGTCGCCGCATCGGAAGACACGAACAGACATCCAGCGCCGGCGCTCTTCCACGAACTGCTCCAAGCGATGAGCCAGAATCCCCCTTCCCCGTCTGCTTTTCGCAGGGAGGCTACAACCCCGAACTACGCAAGTGCGCGCACATTCTGCTCCAAACCCGCCAAAATCAGTCAGTCAGTCAGTCGGACAGTGAAGTGCACGAGGTTCGTAATTCGTGTTTGTTCCCCCATAGGCTTTCTTGTTCCGTGGTCAAGTCTTAGTGAACGAAAGTGTCCACTCGGAAAATCCCGGTTTGAAGCGTTTCGATCTGCCTCAATTCCACAATCCGTCCTCAAGTCGGCACATGTTTGAGCGTTCAATGGGAATCGCATGTGTTCATATCTGTCTCGTCTACGCAGACCTATCCCGAACGTCTTTCCCGGACAATGGGGACGGATTTTCGAAGACTTCTCGGAGCGAAAGAAATCGCTTGAGACGGATAATTCTTATCTCGACGCCCTCGGCAATGCTCGGATCTACACCCGAGCGGGATTCTTGAGCGAACGCTTAAGTGCTCCTAATCGCAGCGGGAGCTAGACATAACAAAGCTCTTTTAATAGGAGACTGATTAGTTTGCAGTTTATCATCGGTCACCTGAGGACGATAAAAATGAAGCTCCTTCTCCTTCCTTGTGTGGCATCATTAATTCTTTGTGGATGCCGAGCTTCCTTGGATGCCGCGCACTCATCGGAGCTAACACAAGCGGACAAAACACCAGAAACCGATGGATCGATGACCGGTGAGACATTCTATCACAGCCTCCTACTTACTTAGTTTATTCACTCCTTCCTAGCCGCTGTGAATTGGAAACAGAGTGATGCTCCTCAGACTCGCCGACCGCGGTGAGGATATTCAAATTTTCAATCCAATCTGTACGGCGCGGCGCTTCGACCAAATGTAATCTCCATTTGAGGAATTTCTGGTCGAATGAATGCTCGGAACCGAATCCCCTTGCGAAGACGATTGAAACCAACCGATTTTAGGGGATTGAGACCGCACATTACTGGAGCCGCTCTCTCGGGGCGGTTTTCGACGTGTGAGAGAAACCTCGCATCCGAGATCGCTCGACATAAGAGTCATGATATGCTTGGTCGACGCGAAAAGCGTAAGATTGAGGATGGCGAACCCTGTCTCGAGAGGAGCGGGGTCCCTACTCTTCCCGTTCCATCGAGCCGAGTGATAAATCAAGCACATACTATGTGCTCGTTTCCCGGTCCAGGTCATCTCTCATACGAGAGTTCTATTCGATACCGCTGTTGACGAATGCTGACGGGAAATTTTCGGGAATTCCTGATCATTCGCCCGACAGCTTTCCCGTTCATCTGATGTGAGAGTATTTCGTGCTCCGGTACCAATGATCCTCTTCGAAAGAAATCTCAGGCTTCCCTCGAGGCGGAGGTTCGTGTCCCCCTCAGAGTCAATCGTTTCCGGAGCGTAAACAGCCTCCGTGGTCAGACGCGAAGACGAATTATGGCTTCTTCTTCAATCGAAACCATACAACCATGTCATGATCAACCTGATTCACACAAAGCCGTCAGTCACTCAGTCGCTCTGACCCGATGAGAGTTTTCTTCCGTGTCCTAATCGGAGCATCGCGTCGAGTCGAGTGTGGGAAATCTTTCTGATGTCTGTGCGCGAATCAGTGGGGAGACTGTCCCAACCCGATCACACATTGGATCTGGGAACCGTAGCTCTACAATTCGAATGACTTCCAACGCCTGCCCGTCTAGGCATTGTGGGGCACCTTGAACGGGCTTGCCCGCGAAATTCCCACCAGGTTGTTCCGGAGCATATACGGAGCAGATACGACTGCGGGATGTCTTCAAGTCGTCGCCCGGCGAGCGGAAGCGGACACTGTACAACACCACGTTCGGAAATCGCGTTCCGCTGTTTGATCACTTGGTGAAGCAAAAGTGTCGAGAAGCCCACACGTGAGATCCTGTTTAGTATTCATCCATCCAGTTCATCGAGCGGACGATGGAATTGCCATTCTCAATTCTGAAAGTTTTACCGATGGGCGTCAACCGGTCTTCGTCCATCGGAGATATTTATCGGCCACTGCTACTTCACCGCAAACGGGAAATTTGTTTCCGTCGCGACCAGAGATACATTCCGATCCCGTCTAAACTGCTTACACGCTGGACTCGTAGATTGATTATTCATCATCTGCTACGAACGAACAGCCCCAGTTCCGCTCATTGCCTCGCAATGACCACTTTCCCTCTTAGAAGAAGAGCCGCGTCTCACGCTTTTCTTCTCGGTAATCACGGGCGGATTCGCAAACAGCGTTTGTAACCCGAATACTTGACACGGCTCACTTATCGACCGCAAATTGGTGATTCACGGCATGAACAGCCGCGAGCATACACTTACCTAAGTTGAAATCGCCGTCCTGGGCTTGAGCGAGCTCAACGGCGCTTTCAGCAAATATCGTCCTGGCTCTGCGAAGGGCTCCGAAATGTTCGAGTTGTCGATGACTGCTCAGAAGGTAATTTCTCCACACGATGAGTGTTTTTCAATGATTCCGCTCGACGGACAGTCAACTTCATTCCAGCCACGGAACGACTTTTCTCGTGCTAGATTCTCACTCAGGAGAGAAGTTGAAAATCCAAGTGGTCGATCCGCTTTGTAGCAGCTTTCCTTCGGAGGGGCTGACAGCCGCGTCATTACGTCTGATTGTCGCTCGACCTTCCGGTTTTATATTTTTTTATGAGTGTCGTCTGCGATTTTTCCCTGCGTGACCGATGAAAAATCTTAGCATTTTCGTAATACTGCTTTCGTCGACAGTCTTCGGCACAACCGACGATCGATCAGTTTGAGGGAAGACTCGAGATACGTATGTCGCAGTGGTCCATTATCTCCCGCCGGAGAGGACCCCGGAGTGATTCCGCTGCATCAGGTTTCGACTGAATCCGATCAGATAATGATCATCCCTCGTGGAACTGTTCAGCTGATTAGTAGAGACCCGGGACTGATCGAAGGAAATAGGATGGTGTTTATTTTGGAAACGCGAGACCCTGCATTATTATTCAACGTTATTCCGCGAAAGAAGCACTAAGGGAGCTGCAGCTAGAGAATTCCCACATGGTCGGCTGACCGGAGTCGTTGGCAATGGTGTTATTTCTCTCGCTGAAACAATAGCGGGATAATGTCGGAAAACATTCCAAGACCAGTTATAATCTCTCGCCAACTGTCTAACTGCGCTGAAGAAGAAACACTGCAATCGACCAAGCATCACGAGGATCATCTCGCGGGCGAATCCGAAAGATCTGCTGAGGAATTTCAAGTTCGGGAACTCGTTTGTGGGGAGGTAGATAGATAGATCGATCGATAGATAGATTCTGAACGTCGTCCTGATGATAAATCGAAGCAATTTTCGATCCAGACCACGAGACTCGGTGGGAAGGCATTCGACGACGCGTCGCAAGTCCGCGGCCACAGATTATGCCCCCGCGACATCGACGAGTTCTGGCCTTTCCTGCCCGTTGGTGGCAAATCCAAGATGTCTCTTTCACGGAAACATCAAAATCGATGGATACGGGCAGCGCGACGGCGTCAATCTCGAATTGTCTACGCGCGCCAGTATTTAATGACATACTCTTTCTCCTCGGTCCACGAGAAAAGGTACCAAAAAAAGCGTTGCAGAGCCACAATCTTCTCCGTAAGTGATTGACAGCCGCCGCAAACCGCGCGCGCCGACTGAGCCAGGCCGGCCGCCTTCATCAAGGAGCTTGGTTGGTCAGCTTCCCGACGGTGTCGCTGGCGATCCGACCGACAGTTCGTCTTACGATCCGACGGTACGAACAATGCTGGCAGGATGTCCGCACAGCTCGCCAGTGCCTCATTCCATTTTGGAATTTTCCTTACTCGGCGCTCCGTTATCCGAGCCGGAAGCCGACGACTCACTCGCTGTCATCATTGCTCTCAATTCCTCCTCTCGCCGGAGAAGCTCGAAACATACACGCTTTACGAATCGTTCGGTGGAGGAGCTCTCCGTTCGAAGCGTTGTCTTCGCGGAGTAGTCCGAACGGGATCCGAACGCGGCAGCCCAAAGAACATCTTCAACTCCGCTTCTGAAGATCAGACGTCGATCAAAAGCAACACGGATACGGGGAAGTCATTTAGGGATCATAGAAAATGACAATAAACAGGAACATACGATCATCTGTATCGCCCGTCAGGAGGGGGAAACTTACTGAGAATCAACAGCACTGCTCTACTTTTTTTCGCGAGCAAAATCAGGTGGAATCGCTTATTTTTCCTTCCGCGTTGTTGACCCACGCCGAACTTGATCGCATTCGTTTCCGATTCCGGCCCGAATTTCGGGCTCCCCTCTTCGTAGGCAACGAACATTTTGTTCCATCGGGATGAAACTCTGGAAGATCTGTCTACAGTCGTATTTCTGAGTTGCAGTTGACGCGAAGTGGACCACAGCTTACGACGACTCTCTGTCCTCTCCGAGAGTGCCTCCAATCGAGACCCAAATCGCGCGGAGCGAGAAGAACAAGAAACTGAAAATTTCGACCAAGTACAAGAAAAACACAAAGGTGAGCTCGGCCCGCCCTCGCCGGATAAATAAGTGAACGACTGGAAGCCTTCGATGACTCCATATCCGTGTGGCATGTTTCCGAAAGGAGTGGCCCCCGAATGATAGATTTTCTCTCAACAGCAATCTCCTCCGAAGAAACGAAAGTACGAAACGAAATACGATGGCGAAATTTCGAGACAGCATCGAGCTCGACGCGATATCTCGGATAATCAAGTGGACGGAGATTTTGCTCGCGTGGTGAGAAGTAAACCGAGGCATCGGAAGATCCATTATCTTCCAAAATGAGCGTGCCTCTCGGGTGACTTTCTTGAAGGAATACTTCATTCGAACACGACTGATCTTTCAGCTGGACCGCGTGATCAAGCTGACAGCTCCGAAAGCCCGATCCAGGCTCCAAACTATGTGGAAACGTTTGCGTTCGATGCTGTTCAACACGAAGGACGGCGCGAATGGGGAGCGAGCTGACGAGCTCACCAAGGCACTATTCCAGCAGCTCTTCAAACAATTTGATCTTCCAACTGTTCTAAGGAAACGTGCTGATAAGCTCCGCAGACGGTAAGAATATTTTGGCTCATGACCCCTCGTTGTCACGCTTGAGGCGTTCATCTGAATCGTTCGCTGAATTTCTATTCCACGGGAACCCCCGCGATCGAGTTTTTTTCACTGTCGGCAGAGTCGGCCCGAGCGGAGCAGGGCAATCGAGCAACTCAACAGCGGATAGTCTGAAGAAAGACGACAGTGTGCGGGTTGTGGACTTCCGTAAGAAAGGCGAGGAATCGAAGAGTACGTCAATAACTGTGATGCATTTCCTAAACTCCAGCATTTTCCAATGTTCTTGGGCCTCGCGTTCCGTCCTCTTTGAGCAGAGAATAGCTGAACTAGTCGAATGGGAATGAAAACGAAACTCTGTGCTCCCGCAGGTGGAGATAATCAGATACAGCAGTGGCTTGGGATGGTCACGGATGGGGATAAAAGTATTGCCAAGAAGGAGAAAATAGATGTCGAAAGCGGGACATCCACCACGACCACTACCGCCGCACCAACGAGTACAACGAGGTGCGTATGACTGAGCGACATATGTACATACGTACTCAGTAGGTGATATACAGCTACGCCTGGAGACCGAATGCAGTGGACTGAGAAATGTTTTCTCCGATTGTAGGTTCCCGCAACTTTCCCTATTCCAACGACGGAAAGGACCCGTCCGGGTTTCCGTGAAAGTCCCTCAGAAACACGCGAAATCCGGAATCCGACGTTTTGCTCCCGCTCAAGTAGGGGCGTTCCGATCGAAGCCCTGATGCCCGAGTATCATCGGATTGGGAAATATAATCGAGGGAACTCCTCGCCCTGATCGAGTTTCCTCAAGTACAGACCGTTTCACAGGGGAGAACTCTTCCTCGTCAGTCCGAGTAGCTGACTGCCATACTGATATTCCCGGCTGGACTAGGAATTTCTGGAATTATTTATTATTATAGCTATACATTATTATAGCCGTAGATAAGTTCGTCGGAGCTCGGCCGCGTTGGGATTGCTCTCCGGTAGACTCTCTCTTTATTTATGGAACGAACCTCGAGAAACTGTGAGGTGAAGGAAAATCACTAGAAAAATGAATAAAGTCCTCTCAAAGCCAAATCCGGGGTCGGGATGAGTTTTTCTAGAAGATACGAGCCGTTGGATACGGCCGGTCTCCGTGTTAGGAAGAAGCTCAGTGACGTGCACAAAAACGTGCGCAGTATATTGCCCCTAGAACTGCAAATGCTCCTTGAGTTCGCGGGGGTTCACAGCAGTGGTTGAACGCCCTGTCTAATTGTAAGTCGAGCCGGGTTCCCTTGAGAAATCCCTCTGATCTCCGCGACTTAGCCGGAACTTGACATTGTCACTCTGAAATCGTTCCACTCCTGAAAGTTCCCCTCGCGAAAGATAGTAAGGTTTCCAATCGGGACCTAGGCGTCCATTCCCTCGGATGGCTCTTGCGCGGAGCTTCAATTGGACAGAAAGGAGCTTTTGATGATGCCATCGGGCTTGTCTCCAATTTCGAGAGAGTAGTAAAATAGCTGCGGTAGAGAGTGCATACCTAATACAGGAATCCGCGATCAAAAGACGATGAGAAAGTGCAAAGTTTGGCCGAGGTTCACTGAATCCGTCGCTTAGTATGCTTTCTCAATGTCAAAGAAGTTCCATGAGGTGAAGTGCACAAATAGCGCTTTATTTCTTCAGGAGCCTCAACCGCCGACCTCCTGGAGAAATTCGCTAACGACGAGGGCGACCGTTCCTTGGTTTTTCATCATACTCAGCGAAGAACTCGCTTGAAGCAGGTCTCCGTCATAAACTGATGATATGCGTTCAGCTCCATATCGCATCCTGAGTCCTGAAGTGTGTCTCCTCCCTATGAATTTCCGTAAAATTCCACTGACGACGGTCTAATTGAAGTCGATTCCATCGGTACTCCTGTAGAGTATCTCCCCAGCTTGAAGATCTGTCATCCGTCGCGAAAGATAAAAGACTTGATCTTCCTGATCCGAGTGGCATCGGACCCTTGAATGAGGATCCGGTGAGGGGACTCCGCCCTACAGCAAATGAGACACATTCGTTATCAAATGATTTTGCGTGATGAGGGTAATAAGAATGAAAGTTCAGGTACTCGGGAAAAGGTTTGGGAAATATTCGGGGGAGGGGTGAAACGCTTTCCGTTCCACCCGGCCTAGACAATCCACCTGTCGCGGCGACCGATGATTAGGTGAGTGCCCGAAGGATGCTGATTTACGGTAGGCCAGGACTTGATGCTCCAGAGTGATATTATCAGATTGTAAGGCAGCGATCTCACGTCTGAATGGGAAAGTTACGTGAAGTCGTCGCTGACGTGGTCATCATGAATGCGAGCGGGCGATGTCGAAGGACGATTCCCTTACTTCATCTGTTGCTGTTGCATTCGGGCGATATCATCGTAGCGGTGGTAGTTTGCGCCGAAGAGCAATTGACTATCTAGCCACTCGATATGTATAGTCAGCTGGTTGCACGAGTTCACGTAGGGTGATAGATGGTCACGAAGCTGCAGATGTGATTCCTGAGTGGCGCTCGAAAGCACATCGGAAGCCGAACTTCAGTCATCCGGCCATTCTTAGAAAACTTCTTTGCACGTACCGATCTTGTTGGGATGTCAACATCCATGAGTACACCCAGGTCCATGCCGTCTTGGACGTAATACGCAGAATGAGGCGCATTGATCGCCAAGATACTTTCTTTGCCTCCTCCCGGTGGTGCGCGGATAACGTAGCTGCAACAACCCGGTTCGCTCAAACTTCCTCCCATCGACGACCATTCCAAAGAGCGGTGCGACGGTCATGAGTCATGACGCAGATGACGTTAATTATTCCAAAGTCGAGATCTAGGTTCCGTGGGAAAATTCTCAAGGAGCTAAGTAATTTCTCTGACTTTACGTACGTATTCCAAGCGACGAATCGTATATGATTCCGCGGCACTGTGTTTATGTCGGTGAAGAACAACTGCAAATAACTTCTTTGAAGTAGCCTCTCGCGCGCACTCTTGTCTTCATCCCTCTGGGGAAGTCCCTGCGGCTTCCCTCAATGTCCTTGAATACCTTTAGCCGCAGATCGTCTCGATCGGAATCCGTTTCGATGGTCCAAGATTGTTTGTCCCGGTCGTGGCAAGTTGCGGCAGGGGGCGGACTCAACCCCAGAATTCCTACTGATTAGAGTTTCGGTGGTCAGTCAGCTGAAAGTTTGTCCACAGAGTCTCTCTTCAGACACTACCAGTGCTCCGGACTCCCATAGCGGTAGTTCTTCCTCTACCCCGGCTTCATGAGTTCCAGAGTGAGTACCGTGGATCCGACGGCTTTCAGGAGGGACCTCGTCGGTCTTACCTTGTTGTGGGGGCATGTGGCCGCGAATGTGAACTTTTGCCTCTGATATCACATTGGCCGATACCATTTGAACTTGTAAGTGTAGATGGGCATGTCTTTGAGAAATCAGATCCCTGAACAAGGATAACTCCTGGAAGATTCTTTCAATGAAACAAGATTTACATCGGGGTAAGCCGTATATGGGCGTCGACGTCGTCGAACCTTTATGGAGAATCCTCTGATGCGTCCGGACAAGTCGGATATTTGGTCAAGAAGTCCTGATTCGATTTCCATTGAGCCTTTTCCCAGGACTACTCGGTACTGAACTCGACAGGGGCTCTCGAAGCCTGGGGACAATGATCCTCTTGATATTAGACCCATTCTATAGCACATGGACCGCGAATCGCTATCACGCATATCAAGGAGGCAGTTACAGGACCAAAAGCGGGAAGATATTCAATCGAAGCTGTTTGAAATTGAGAACTCATCCGCGTGCTTGCATGAACTTCTGAAGCGGGAATCCCATTGGATTGCAGAAACAGCAGCGCAAGTCAAAAGACTAGCTTTCGTGAGCAGACTCTCCCCAGCCAGGTGACGCGAGCCCGGCTTCCAGGATCCCCGAGGGCAGGGCTGAGAGCTTCAGTCTGCGACCCACGCGGGTCGCGAACATCCAGCTCGATACAAAATCTCGATTTAGGGAGCAATCATGCGGTCTCGGCTCCGCTCGATGGGAGCGTATTGAGGGAAACCTTTGGTCTACCTCAAAATTCAGTAATAGCTAAAACAGGTCTTGTGGATGCATCCTTCAAACTCACGGTCTCATTAATGATGATGAAAGGCTTGGTACGCTACTCAAGCCTCTTGGATGATGCGTATATGGATTGTGGATAAGAGACAGGGGATTCCCCTCCCCCCCAAGGGCGAGACGTCGCGCGACGTCGTCGCGTCTCGGGAGCGCTCTCTGAGCTTGGCTGTGACCGCGATTCCAGAGCTCCTCGCGACAGGGATAATCGAGGCAAGCTTCGAAACTCGCAATCGATAGCTCGTGAGCCGCCGAGGAACCGGCAGCTCGAGCGAACATAAGTCAATTTCCACTCCGACGGATCGAGCCGTCAATGTCGAGACGGAAGCTGTCCTATGATCGAAGCCTCTCGGGCCCTCGAAGATCTCTCCCTCGTGTCGGGTAGGGGGAGGGCGCAGAATTCGATTGCAGTGGAGGAATGGGACGAGTTCGAGGCGGCTACAATAAGGTGTCAAGAGGCTGCGGACTTCTGCCTCGTATCGAACACCTTGCGGTGGGCATCACCGTGGCCATCAGCCTTCGCGCAACTCCGCAGCAAGCAACTAATGGAGTTTTGATTCGCACATCACCCCGACAAGGCGAATGACGACACGTTCGAACGGATCTCCGACCGACCATGTCGTGATAGAATAATTATCAATTCTTCCCGGCATCTCCCACGTGAATCTCATCGGGGAAGTCGGAAGCGACAGGCGACACGACATCGAAACAAGATAGAATCGAGCAGAGCGGGGATTCCCGCTGGAGTTCCCCGAAGGCCATCCTGCAGGTATTGATATGTCACAGCCGCTGACAACAGCAGTCTACGGCGTAATTTGGAAGTCAGTGATGCCGAAGACGGAAACGAAAGACGGATCAGGGGACAGGAAGCCGCCGACACGAGAATGACCACCACGGCCAGCGAAGGCGAGAAAAGCCAGCGGGATCTTCTCGGCTGTATCGACTCGGCGTCTCCGCTCCGAGCAAAGGAAATCGTACGGCTCAACAGCTTCGGAATGCGCAAATTGGACAGATTTCCGTCCGACGATTTTGGGATGCAAGGAATCGAAACGAGCTTTGCCTCGATGCAGGAGGAAATTGTACCCACCTGTCAGGCGGTTCAAATGCACCTTCGGATTCCTCGAGCCGTCGTTGTCGTCCGGGTTGCCGTGAGGAAAGATTGCGACGTTCCATTCATAGCCTCCAAACGTGAAGTACAACGCTTCTATCCTGTAGATCAGGACAGCGATGAGAACTCTCCCCGTAAAGCTGACCTCCCATCGCTACCCCCTACCCCATTGAGAGGCTTCGCTCTATCGATATCATGAGTCCGACCTTGCTGCATCTTGCTGCGTCACGGTGGAGAATTCCCTCGGATCCTTGAAGGGCTCATCCACATTGTCGCCGATGAATTTTCGGGGAATCTGCGAAAAATGCAACACCACGACTTTGCTTCCCACCTATTCTTCGATATCGCTCTTGTCTAGTAGACAACAAAACAAGAATGGAATACGAATTTCGGTTTACGAATTTTTGGATTTCTATTCGCACCTGAATGTTTGCATCGAATACAGTGAAAGCATTTGCCATAGTGAGTTCCACCAAGAACTCCCCGGTCTCGTCGGCGAACCTTCAGGAGAAACCAGAATCGATCACATCGTCCATCAGTGGTCGCTGCACTCGTCGATAAGCAAATATAATCTGACCGCTCCGATTCATCAAGCGTCGATCCATCGTCCTCGATGGAAACTGCGAGCCCGATAGTGAATCAAGTGGGAACAAAAAAAACACTCGATGGCTAAAAAGTTGATGCTCCGCTTGGGATTATTGGCGGCATCCACACGCGGATATATATTCACCTTCTTAAATGTAGCTCTGCCAGGGGCAGCCATTTGGCTGCACCGTGAACGGGCGAATCAATGCTGAAGGCGACCCGTTTCTTGGAGAGACATTCATTTTGGGAAAAATGCTCACGGCTCAAGAGCGTCAGTGTGAAATCCACAAAGCACCTGGAATGGGTGCTTCTCGAAAGGGCACGGAAAAATGCACGGACGGCGCCGCCAGGTCCACCCTCGATGGAATGAGTGAGGCTGGGAGAATTTGGAGGAAGTGAACTTACTGCGAGGCAGCGGCTGGATTCTTTATGACTAGAAACACTCCGAGAGTCTTGTCTGTTCGCACGAATGAGAGCGCCCAGCGGTGGTATCTGGAATGAATGGAGGGCAAGAACATTGAAGTCGCCTGGAACGCTTACACCGCTCCCACGTTGCGATCGTCTCCCTAGTTCGTCGAACGAGTGCGTCCCCAGCCCCCGGTCAATGAGCGGATCCGGGCACTAGGTTCAAGTCGATCGTCGAGCGCAGCGCTACGCCTGACTCGAATGGCCTCCCGAGTCTTGGTTTTGAAGGAACACGCCAAGGAACATCGCTTCCTGAGGGGGAATCTTCCATCGTCCGATACACCTTAGTTTCAAAGAGCTCGCATTCTGGTGAAGGATTCAATCCCAGCCGAATTCGATCCCCGGAGGACTGGGCTGCGTCAGGAGTTTTGCCATCGGACGACGAGCTCGATAATTCCTTGGAAGGTACGGTTCGTCGGAACATTTATGGGAGAAAAAAAAAATTCACCATTGGCGCTCACCCATGGAGGAAGTCTTTCGTCACTGCATCACGGTGTAGGTCTCGTGTAACCGTTCTCGTCACAATGAAAGTGAACACTGCTGCAAAACGTTCGAAAAAACTGAGCCGTATCAGAGAATCATCGCTCGGGCGACCCTACTACAAATCGCCGCAAGTCGAGGGTCCCTCTTATTCGCTCGAACCTGTGTTCAATCGGTCGTTGAGCCTTGTGAAGCGGTGGAGGAGCGCCATCTCTGCGTCCCTCGTGTAGAATTCCTCCGCAGCTTTCCGTCTCCACGGCTCGATGACAGACGGGACAGATGTTGTCGGGAAGCCTCTTCGCAGTCCGGGGCTAGATTATCCCCGTAAGCGTTTTCGTTTCAGCAATCTGTCCCTCTAATCACTCACTGACCGAGTCTCCTGCGAAAATTCCTCCGGATGACCGATTAGGTATCCATCCCGATCTTGGAAGCTGAAATCAGGACAAAATCTTAGGTCATGACAGCAGCGTGATCCAGGATGGACGTAGGGAATGCGCTCCGTGTCGGTTGGTGATTCGCCTCAGATCCAATCGATGCCTCAATATGACGTTCCAACGAAGGAAGACTGGAGTTCATAGCAAATCCCGAGATGGAGCACTCTTGAGGTTTCCGAATCTTGCCTGGACGCTTCATTCCCCATTCACGGGCCTCTTTCAGAGGATCTTCATTCCCGAAGCACGAAAAATTATTCTGGTACGGGAGTCGTCATCGTTGAGACGTATGTATTGCCTTCGGATTTTTTCGATTCCCGATGAATCTCGCGTATCGTGAGAACTCAGAATTCCCTCACAATCGAGAATTTCGAGAGCGTCAGGCAGTCGAGCCGGGCCGCAAATTATCTCCAGGGACATAGCGAAGTTATGACTGGACATGCATGCATTCATGCAGGATCAGCAGAGGTCCCGGTGGGCCGTTTCCCGACAGTGATCTAGAACTGTCTGTCTGGCATCAAGTCTACATTGATATCCGACTCTCGGACCATAGCTCCAAGCGTCCCTCGACGCGACCCAATCCCACGCTGATCGCGGGATTTCTCAATCAGAGAAAAAGTCGCGATGAATCGGCTAATGCCGTCCAACCGGAGCGCTTATCCTGTGCTCGATGCGCGCAGCCGGGAGTGAATAATGCATCAGGCACCCGATAGCTTATACATAGCACGCTCATAAGGACAATAACCGGCTCGGAGGCACCGCTCAGCGGAGCAAGAGCATTCCCTAGGCATGAACAGGCTTCGATTGGAACAAACAGCCGGTCGACGATAAGAGTTGTTTGGTGCGAAGTGAATTGAAATTTTCGAGCGGATCCATCCCTTGCGCTGCTCGGGGATCAGCCTATGGGCAGGACCTTCCTTCCCTTCCTGATTACCGCAACGATTAGTTCGATCAGCGATCAGCATTGGGGACAAGAGACGTGCACTTCAATTTATTGTTGGAGCAGCTTCCTTTCAGCTCGGAGCTGCCGAGTGAAGCATGGCGGGTCGACTGGAGGGTCTGCCTCGACTACGCCCCAGTACAATTCCGAGACCGCTATCCATCATGTATAATACATATTGCTTTCCGTCTCACAAATGGAATTTCGTGCTGAGAGGGGGAGTCTTTCGCTGTCACCGAGGATCCCTTGCTGCTCTCTCTTCAAAGCATTGGTTCGACTAGGAGTGAAATCCAAGTTGGGGAGATAAGCGAGTCATCGACGCTGCGGAAAATCAGCATGTATCATATGAGGACTCGGAAAGGAAACTAAGGCAAGCCTTGGAATCAAGAGGGACTGATTCCCGAGATTCTTTCAAACTTCCCCTTGATAGCCGCATACTCGGCTTTCCAAAATCTGCAGCGGCATGACTTGTTGTCAGTCAGCTGGGCTCGGAGGCAGTCGATGCTCGAATCGAACGATGCCTCAAAGTGTAAGCCAAGATTTTACAGAGATTCCATTCGTAGCTCCCCGAGCCGTATCGATCGTGCGAGTGACTGCTCAAGTTGGATCGTACGGGAGGATCTTCTAATGGCTGTGTGTCAAGCGCAAACAAAACTTCCAGGATGCGAGAGAAGAGTTTACCATCTGGCTAACTTATTTTGCCTTGCTTATGGCTTATCCTTTATTGGAATCGGGACCTATGAACGAGACCTACGGAGTCTATGAATTTCGGGAGGCGAGAAATCTTCCATTGGAGGAATGTTTATAGCCTCGAATATTTCAGTGTGTCTGCACACCGCACATGTCACTCGAAGCGACGAAACGCGTCGGGTTTAATCATTCAGCAACTCAGTAACCTCAATCATAGGATCCGAACTGAGTGCGCTACTTTTTCTGTGATGAATTAATAATTATAGAGGTGCGTCCAAGCGACTCAGTCAGCCACATATCCAGTGGTCACGCGCCCCATGAAGGCGCGGCTCCGGACGAACTCTCGCTGAGAGTGCGATGATAATCAAATCCGGTACCTTCGATCGAACGTGGACTCGATTCTCCGCTCATTGGGGCTATGAGTGTTTTGAGTGCGATTTTGAGACCGCAATGGAAAACTCCGCGTCTGTCCCAGGGCGGACGTCTCTCCACCGATATCGACGATCCTAGTCTTGATTCGACTTCTGGGAATCTCATCCTCGCAGAGCGACGCAATGTACGCAGTTTCCGCAGCTCCATGATTTCCATGGCAAACATGCGCCTCCGTCAGCTTGAAGTCGGTGACCGATGCGAAGTGTACGTACCCGAGTTCCCGGATCGCATCTCTCCCTTCTCATCTCCTCGAATGGATCTCCTCCAATTCGAGGCACGGTGCCGGTGCATTCCGGAGGGATCATGAGAATAAGAAAATCCACTGACGGCTCTACTGTGTGATGTACACACATTGTAGGCGGTTCCTCTTTGATAGCGAGGATTGTGCGCCAAGCTTGCAGGCGCAGCCCGGGGATGAACCTATTGAGACTCGCTTGATCACGAGCAGACATCATATCCGACGTTCTACCAAGGAATAGAAGGAGATCGAGGAATCCTACAATATGAACTCGAGTCCAATCAAGAGCGATCGATTCCTCGACGCATGAATGTTTGAATCCGGGCGTACTGTACCGGAGTCGGCAGCTGGCTCTGAGATGGAACAATTTAGAATTGAATTTCTGATGCGATTAGGGTGGCTCGAACGTTCTCTTCTCCTGTGTTAAGTGGTATTGATCACCCATGTCCGAAATCGATAACGAAATCGGCCGAGCGGAGTCCCTCGATCACTCATAGCGAGCTCTTGCTGGACGAGCCATCCAAGACGACAAGCTTGAACGGATTGTCCTCTCAATGATCCATCTAAGGCTGCGGAGCCTAGCAACGCCCGCCACGTTCATGAATCTCTACCTTCACCACCTGGAGTCCCATGGAAATGGAGGCAAGACTCTTGTTCAGATCTCGGGCTAGAACTCCACGGTCGAATATATCAGCGAGCAGCATCATTCGAGGCTGTTAGTGGGAAGTCTGGAATGTCTATACTTCGAGGTGGGAAACTTTTTGCAGCCGAATGCGCTTATTCACCGGTTCAGTCGTCCGCATCTCCAGAATTCCAGAATCTCCGGATCATCTTGGAACGGACTAAGTTAGTTTTGTTAATTCTCGCAGCGCTCAGCGTTCGTAATGCTCCGAATTCGGGCTCTGTGACAGCTTCACCACTGCTGTGATAGAATACGCTGACCTCCCGTTTCTGCCACAACTCGAGCATCAGCGTTCTTTAGCTTCTTCCCATTTCTATTCTCCTCGTTTGCACTGCTAGCAAGAAGGTCAAACCATGAAGGAGATCCCCGGAACCGTAATTATTCGATGCTGGAAAACTTTCAGGGAGTCCATGAGGCGTAACCCTCGAGCTTCCCCAGGGATTCTAGGGCAACATCGATGAGCGGGAGAGAGTACAAAAAGTGTCGGTGATCCTTCAGTTGGAGGATACTTTTGAACGATTAGAACCTTATCCGCCAATGAGAAGAACTATTGAGCATTCGATTGAAGGAGCACGTCGGGTAGTCTAACCAAATTTCTGAGCTCGGGCAGCGTACGATTCCCGCTCCGGGCTGGAGAGGCGTTCTTCGCTAGTCGGGGTACTGCGCGAGGCTCCCCTGAGTGAATTTCCCGTTGGTCTCGATGCTATCCGGCCCCCCTTGACCCCAACTTGATTGAATATCGTTGAAAGATGCAGGAGGACCATGTTATCGCGTGATTATAGAGATCGGTGATTCGGGGCGAGCTTGCTCGCGTATCGACGGTGACCCGGGGCTGCATCTGGATTTTGACAGTGGTGCAGTGTTGTCCCGCCCATCGAAGGAGAACGGATTCTGTGACTTTTCGGGGATAATCCGCCCGGGCGGATGATAATTCCTCCCCCCCTCCCCGGGGCACAGGACTCTGGGAGCATCGAACGAATTCTGAGAATTCCCCCCAGAAAAGTTTTCAGCTATTTTCGCGTACATTTCGAGACATTTTCGCTTACCTGCTAGTTACGAGCTCACGCGGGAGCGTCAAGGAGTCGGTGCGTAAATGGAATCAAACTTCCCACGGCCTGATGAACTTGTCAACTCATTTCAACCTGCATTTCTCCAGCGGGCGAATTTTCCGCAGGGTCTAGAACTCCATTACAGAATCGGGTCCTCTCCCGCCAGAGTCCACTCTCTTCGGGGTGAAGTCCAGCAAAACGTCGCGGTAGCACGAGGCGAAGAATTATTTGAGTTCTACTCCACAGGTGAGCCGAGTCCCTCTCTCTGACAAGCAAGAGCCCTTTCTCGATTTCCGCTTCGCAACCTCTTCCCCATCTGCCAGCTCCTGCACCTATCGGCAATAATACAAGAATTCCGAGAACTCTAGCGATGTACATATGTATAATATATTGGGGTACAAAGAATGGTCATTGTCCGCATTCATTGATCCGGAAAGATCTCGGAGGCGGTCCGTATCGCCTCCCCCGTGACTCGTCTTGGATATCAGGCCAGCTATTAGTCTCTTCCAGGATTGGGTGGATCAGCGGTGCGTCTCCTCACGGTAGACAGTCGAGGACAGGGGATCTGCGAGGGTGATTTTCTCAGTTCGAATGGTAGTTCCATAAGTTGAAGTTTTTCGGGTGCCTTTCCTCCGCCGAGCAGCGATCGGCGATGAGCTTGCGGATCGCTTCCCACTTCCGATACGCAGAGGGCGGAGAATTCCACCGGCCGCGATTCAAGGCAAATTCTCGACCGGTTGAAGAGAAACGAGAAGCCGATCAATGTCTGGGACCTAAGCGTAGCCAGGCGTGGAAACCTCTCGACTACCTCCGTGAATGGCTCGGGCTCGCTCCTATCCTTGGACGGAACTCGGAATGCTCGACGAGCTCCAGCACAATCGCTGCACAGTCCGGAGCGACTCCACTTCTCCTAGAGGTGAAGGAGAATTCGAAAGGAAGATCTCGCAATGAAGGTCGTGAGAGTCTCAAGATGCCGCAGGAACTTGTCTCACATCTTACATGCAGGATCTTGCTTATTATCAGATCTCGCAGTCGGGGTCGCAAACTCCCCGCCACTAGGGATGATTTAGTCCTGCCCGCTGCTCAGTAAAAGTGCAAGAGTCAGTAAAAGTGAAATTCTGAGAACTGCAGATCTGTAGAGCATGAAGGATACTTCCCACAGGGTGATTTCGCCAATCATTCCCGACCAGGCGCCGCAGATTAGGCATTACCAAGTTCTGTGATATCAATTCCATCAAACTCCCTCGGCGGACAAGATTCCGATTTTCGGATGACGAAGTGCATTCAAATGCTAAAAGCAGAACCTTGGCGGAGACGTTTTCATGTTGAAGAAGAGACGCTTGGCTGAGGACTGCTCCCAGCGAGGTGCAGGGAACTGACCCTCATCGCCAATCAGACGACTCGAGCTTCCTTGAATTGTTTCGGATGGGCTAGATCCCGCGCCAATCTCATGGAGTCACGCCTGATCTCTGTGGGGACGACATGATGTGTTACAGGAGCGAATCACTGGCAGAAGCGTGGACGAGCCAAGAGCATAACGGACTCGAGTCGCACCTCTTGAATTAGAAACTGACCTTCGCGTGTTCGGCTCCATTCGTACGGCGCTCTTCGAGAACGCTACACTGGATCAGGGCGAAGCTTTTTCTCAAGCAGCTGCCTCAGAAAATCCGGGATTTCGTGCTGGACACCAGGGGAGGCTTAGAATTGACGGAACAACGGAAAGTATGATGTATTGTCTGTGTGATGAGCGAAATCTATCTCATTTCTCTGACCTTCGCAGGGACAGAACGATCACTTGTAGTGCTAGTTGTATACCTAGAGGAAAATGTCCAGCGAAGCTTCCATAGTTTGAGAAGAGCCTGCGCACAATAGACATCGCTCCTATAGCCTTGATCGCAAGCCACCATTCTGGAGTCGTCTAGTCTAGAATGCAGACGCCTCCAGCTTCGAGGACTTGAGTTGCATTTCCGGAACTCAACGATAGCTCTTCCCGAACTATACTCAAGGTGTCAAGGTTGCTGGAAAGGCTTGCCGGAGTCGGAAAAGCGGAAACAACGCTAATCCGCCTGCCAGCTTGGAACCAAAGTCGCCAGGGCTCCTTCACGGTGTGGCTCGCCCCCGGGCAGCGGACGAGTGCCGCATCGTTCTAAGGGATGCGAATTCCGGTCGGGTGGTCCCCGGATCCTGAGAGTTAAATCGTCCAATTATCCCTCTGATAGACAATCTGGTTGCAACGAAAGCACACGGTCCTATGGGCGTTCCACGATCGAGCGATACCGGGAGGTCCCCCGCTTGGTTTTGAACATCTTCCAGGACGATGAGGTAGAGAGAGAGAGAAATCATTCTCAAATGTGAACTTGAAGAGCCGAGGGTTGTCAAGCCTTACATCCACGCCACTGTTTCAGAGTGGGAATTAAAAGAGAAAAAGCGTCCGAGGCGCCATCGCAGTGGGCGAACATCAAGTTAGGTCCTTCATAATGAAGACAGCACCTCAACAGAAGGACCTTCTTCTGCGGATGTAAAATCGAGAAACTGGTTCGGTAATTTTTCAAGGGACTTTATCTAATGCCGGAGTTTCAGAAAGAAACTCGGGATACGATCAGGTACCCCCAGCATGGAGTCCCGCGCTCTAATCGGAAGTCGACGGGAGGCCGGCACACGGAGCTTGGCGGGTGGATGTGGAAAGAAAATGAAGTGGAGACTTGAGAGGAGACAGTAAAGACATTGATGTCGATGATCTTTCGTGAAGGATCGCGCGGACTCTTCTTCCTCTCTACTTCGCTGCCTCCCCAACGGCCCCTCAAGGTTCCTGTACTTCACGCCAATCCGGGACCTGCTTGTGTAGGACATGGGCCATGGCTTCCACTGGACCACGGTGCGATCACACTGATGCTGTCCTGCTCCATTCGTGTGTATACACATCGCATTGCCGAGTCTTGCGTTTGTTGGGAAGTCTTGTCGCAGACTCAAAGGGTGATGGAGCCGTCTTCGGGTGGTGATCTAGCGAGATCCGGCCCATCCCCATACATCGCAAGCCGGGTGAGCTTCACAGTGGTCTCTGGGGTGGAGAGGGAGAGAGAATCCAAAAGACCGCCCGATCGCGTTCAAACTGACGTCAAAGATCATCAGCACAATCACCTTCGCTCTCCCATCAACAAATTTCGTTTGTATTCAATTTTACCCCCGTACTCCTGAAACGAGTTTCCCATAGACTTTGCGTACGTACAAAAGCCTTCTACTTTATCTCAAGCCTACGTACAAACGCACGGGAAAAGTCTTACCATCGAGCGATCGTAGCACTCGGACTTCAGCTAGAGTTTCGACTGCGTCTCGTATTCAGAAAAGTGTCGGATGATGAGCGGGGTCGAACTGTAGTTTTGGTGAAGTTCAAGTTTCAAGTCCGCGGATCGACGGCCGTTCTCTCCTTGGGCGCAAGCATATCATCGCTCGCATACATCGTGTCGGCCTCCAGGACGCTCATCAGTGGGGGATCTGGGGCGACTTCAAGCGAAGTCCGTCGAACTTGTCAGATGTCCGTTTGACAATCACAAACAGTAAGTCGATTCTAATATTGGCTCGGAGCAGGGAACTTGCCTCAGCACCTTTCCTTTTCGATTGTCTTTCCGCCTCGCGAGTATTGATTCGTCGATTTCATCCTGCAGCATTTGATATGAATCTGCCTAATTCGAGCTCATCAGGAGCTTCACAAACGAGCTTTGGTATGTTGGGACGTCGGCGTCGGTTTGATATTCGATCGAAACCATCCGGGACTCCTGGATTGAGAGCTAAGTTCCATCCTTTACTCCGACAGTGATCTCCCAACAAGCAACGATGAGTCCCCAAATGGCCCCTCCGGAATCTCCCGCTCCGACGACACCGAATCTCTCTACCGTGGGCTCTACCCCCCCTCATCCGTCTCCTAGTCCGCATCTGACGAGTTCTCCTGCTCCTCCAAACCAGCTGGTTGTCACGTCACAGCATCAAGCGACCAGTGCGAATACTTTGCAGTTCACATCGGCTGTGGTGTCTTCGGTTGGGAACATGGTTCAGCAACCAACCGTGATCCAAACAATGGCCCAGGGTGGACTCCAGGTTAGCATCTGATACGGTCGGACATCGGGCGTTACTGACAGGCTTTAGAGCTTAAACTTGACTCAGAGAATGTTTTTCCAGTTTCCTTCGCAGGTATCGATGCTCCCGCAGGGTCAACTCAATGCAGGAGCGTACATTCAATCGATATACCCGACCGGGCAGCAGCCGATGCTCCTCTCCTCCGCTGGAGGTTTGACGCTCCAACAAGCAGCGCTAGGCCAAGGGATCACCGTTGTACAGAATCCCCCGCAGAAGCTCGCCCAAAGCGGCGATAACAAACAGTCGATGATGAATCAGAACCAAACGAAAAATGGTGCCGTCACGAGTCAAGCCGGACCGAACAAAGTCCAGAACATGCCGCAGAGATCTCAGTCGAATCAGCAAATTGTGACGGGACAAGGACAATCGATCATAACGGGACATCCTCAGACCCAGTTTGTCACTCAGTCCGGACCGAATGGGCAGACGTTATTCTATAGCCCACTGGGGGTCCTTCCTCAAGGAAGCATGGTTTCACAGAGTATTCAAGCACAACAGAATCAGAAAGGCGGTCAGCAGAAGTTCGTTGGTCAGCAGAAAGGTGCACAGGGACAACTTCAAATCACCAGTGTTCAAAACTCCCCGTACCGACATATCAACCCCGGCCCATCACAGCAGTTGATCACCACTGGGGGTCAATCCGTTCTGGGGCAGCCTCAGATCATCAGTCCTTTGCAAGCGTTCAACGCTTTTGGTCCTGGTATTTCATGGGCCGGTCAATTACAAGGGAACCCATTGCTGCAATCTCCGATCCTCATTCGGAATCAGCATGACGGTAATGTCTACATCCAAAGCGCTCCCACCGCTCAACAGCAACAGCTGCAACCCATGCAGGTCCAGCAGCAACTGCAAACATCACAAGTAGGTGTTTTTTCCAATCTTAATCGATATTCATTGGAAAATGATTCGAACTCTTCTATACACATTTTCACTCGAGGATCAATTTCAGCAAGTGAATCAGCAAGTTTCCACTGGTGTTCTGCCGAACGTTGTCCATAGCGTTAGTCCTCAGACCTTGGTAGGAACCTCTCCTTTGAACCAATCGACGCCGACGCTCCACATTCCTAATCCTCCCCTGACTCCTCAACAACAACAGCAACAACAACAACAGCAGCAGCAGCAGCAAGCGTCACAGTCCCAGCAACAAGCGCAGCAGCAGCTCGCGCAGCAACAGACGCAACAACAGGCACAACAGCAGGCGCAACAGCACATGCAACAACAACGGCAACAAGCGCAGCAACAACAACAACAACAGCCCCCGCAACAACAACATCAAACAGCACAACAAATCCCTGTACAGCTACCCCTCGCTCAGCAAGCACTTCTATCCAATTCCCACATTCCTCATAGTGGACAAATCACGGTTAGCCATCCTTTACAATGGAGAAGCTTTATCCCGAAGACAATCGAGGTAGTTCGTGTCCATGGCTGAACTATTCCGCTCCCCACAGATACAAGCCGGAAACCAAATAATGACGACCACCGTGCAGAGTCCTCTGATTCAGCCCGGGAATCAAAGGATGCCTCGACCGCCCACAGTGCGTAACTTGGCCTCGAACCGGTCTCTCCTATGTTCCGTATTCCCACATCCACATTACCGATCAGCTCTATCGAACTCCATCCGAAAATGAAATTTATTCCAGCCGCAGCCTCAGCAACAGATCGCTGTTGGGATGAAAACCGCTATGAACCAAGGGCTGAACCCACGGGCTCCTCGAGGAGCGGGTTCGCGACCCTCGTCTAACCATCAGCTGACTGGAGTATCGCCCGGAACCGAAATCAAGGGGAGCGCAGCCGATGAGATATCGAAACAGGAAACCAACGGGCTCGTTCAGGCTATGAGAGTTGTCGCGCCGATAACTGAGCCCCAGTCGATGCTACCCGTTGCAACGGTCTCACCGATGGACGCTAGTATATCACCCATGCCTCCCAGAGTGACAGTGGTGAGTATGTCTGCCGCACGCTACGCTGCGGACCTTCGGAGGCAATGGGAAGAATTTTCCGTTGCTCGCTGCAGAGAAAATCCTTCTTTGGAATGTTGGATGTCTAAATCGGATTTCTCAAAGGTCACTCTGCCGGATATGCCCGAGCCGGAGATCAGCACATCTCCAGCCATAGCAGCTCCTTTCCCTCAGGAAGGCGGAGAGGCACCAGAGATGGAGGAAGCCTCGGAAATCCTCACCCATATAATCGATGGTATGTTCACGCTCTCGTTTCTCTCGCTGATTTCGAATTGTTACCATCGATGATCGTGGCCGGGGAACGAGTGCTCTCTTAAAGCGTGTCTCTCCGCAGGATACGTCATCCGGGAAGGTCCGACTCCATTCCCAGTGAGCAGACGAGCTCTTTTATCCGATGTTTTGCGAAGAGAACACGAAACACTTTTCGGCACCGACAAGGAGAGAAAACGGAAAGTCGAGAACAGCACCGAAGCAACCCTGCCAGAGACCGAAGGCGCTGTTCCAAACGACGAGAGAGTGAGTAGCCTTCCCCAGATACGTTCCCCATTCATCTCTCCCGTATGCTGCAGATCTTGCGGCTACTTAGGTTGGCTCCCTATTCCAGGTCGGTGAGAATGCCTCTGCACCGGAGAGTGCTGCGAGGTCGCAGCAGAAGACGTCAAATGATGAAACTACTCCACAAAGATCTGCTGAGGCTCAGAACGGCGAGAAATTCGGAAAGATCCCGAAATTCTGGAACGTTCAAGAGGTTTTCGAGTTCATCAACAGCATTTCGGGATGTGCGGCGTATGCGGAGGAGTTCCGCGCTCAAGAGATCGACGGGGAGGCGCTGCTCATATTGAAGGAAGAGAGTTTCGCGAAAATAAAGAACATGAAGCTCGGCCCAGCAGCGAAAATTTGCATGCGCCTGGACCAGTTGCTTTCCTGATCGCTTCCCATTCAGTATTCTGGTGACGGCGATCGATGACGTTTCGACGAATGACGCAAGCATTCGAGTGGGTGTGGATCGCGAATAAGGTTGGGAAACCAATCTCAGTCATTGATGTAATCTAAGATACGCCTATCTGTACATAACAATACATAAAAGTATAAATACACATCCGAGCATACAATAAAGGAGTATGACTAACCGTGACACGTGCTTGGAATCTCTGCCGGGAGCCCCGGGTCCTCGAACTGAGACGCCTTGGAATGGCGATCTCGCGAATCCCAACCAGACGTATAGCCAGTTTGCGACTTCCAGCAGGTATCCGACCTCTGCACCTTCAAGAATTTCGGTGTAACTCGCCCAAAGACTCCGGAAGTTTGTTTTCCCTCTCCGCAAATGAGACAAGGGGTGGAAAACCCAGTCTGTTTGGAAGAATACGCTCGGCTCCGCCGACCGTCGCCCACGATTTCGAAGAATGGTGACGCGAACCTTGAGCTTGGATGGAAACCCGTGCCATTCGGCCGGGTCGCGACTGAGATCGGATCCCGTTCGGTCCATTCGATGACAAGAGGTCGGACCGATGTTGTTCCTTCTATCCCAATCCAGCCTCGGACCCTCGAAAGAGTAATACATGTCAGCTCTGGACATGTTGTTGTCACCTTGTTCTTGAACGGGAGTCATCAATCAGGTCGCCGATTTGGTCAATTTTCATTCTCAAGGAGATTACTCGCCCTGGTTCCGCGTTTCGACGCTAGTGCACACGGATGCGTGAGGAGGGAAAATGAGGAGAATAAATGATACGGTTTCACATCGAAGTATCAACGTATTTTCATCCGGTATATTATGGTCGAATGTGGCTTTCGCGGTGGCAGGCCTGACGAGAGGGGGCGTATTTCGACGATCGCTGACCCCGAGCCCCGAGTTTCAGCAGGGACCTCTAGCTCAGGCTCTGGTCGAACAATTCCGTCTGCGACCGATAGTTTCCTTCCGTTCTGCTTGAGCCCGTGAATATGCGCTCCCCGTTGTCTGACTCCTATCGCAAGGTACTCCTGTGGGAAACGATGGAAGGAGCTTCCGTGGTCTGCGGAAGAGTTCCCCATTGTCGAACCGCTGGTAGAAATCCGCATGATTCCACTACCAATCGACTCCTGACCGTCGGAGTTCCCTCATCTTCTTCCCCTATCCTGATCATGTCCTGGAGGGAGAAGGCTGATTGAAATGATCTGAATCTCTGCGGTCCTGCCAGAGACCGGCGCGAGGGATGTGTTACAATCTCTTAATGATCATGAAGGACGAGTCGATGAGTTCCAAACATGCTTCTCCCTTTATGAACGATAAAAAGACATAACAGATCTCGATAACATCTTCTAACGAATGAACATCACGGCCTATCTAGATGTAGAACACGTATGCTTCTCGATTCGCTTCTCATTTGCTGGCAAAGTAGAATTCTGTCAAGTCTCACATCCATCGAGGAAGTCGTTGATCACTGGAGCTAGTTTCTGCGGGTCTGTCATCTGTATGTGGTGAAGTCCCTCGAGTTCCGTATATTGATACCGCGAGCAGTTCTCTTGATGAATTTGTTGAATCTTATGGTAGCCTTCCCGTTTGAATTGCATAGGGAGACACCTGAAACGTATTTGAGGATCGCTTGTAATTATTAGCTTTCATCGCCTCGATCGATCAGTAGGTACATTTGCATTCACGGACGGAAACTCTAATGGTTCATCGTCGGTCGAGCTCACGTACCGGATGGCTAGAAGCTCGTTTTTATACAACGCTGCGAGCTGCTCGGAGGTATCCGCGTCAAACGAGTTCCAATATATATATTTGAGCCGTCTATCTCGGTTGAAGGTGTATTGATCTTCGCCTATCCTTGTGCATCCTCTTTTCATGAGTACCCTCAACGCATCCTCTGTATAAGCATTTCTGATGGCTGTCATATGCTTCTCGATAATCTCAGCTTCTGGGTAAGCGAAGGGCTTCTCGCCGAAGTACTCCCTGAAAACGAACAATATGGACCGTTAGAGCTCGTTATGGTCCGGGAAGTGCAAGACTTCTGATTCCTCAGTCAGTGAAGCCTCATGCAAGCAAATCGCTCGAGACTGGGCCGATCCGATAATATCGGCAGGATTCGGGCCGGGGTTCCTCAGGAGAGTTCCTCCCGGGTGGGACGAGCCGAGGGAGCGGTCCCTGTCGCAGTTCCGACATTCATAGATCTCGATCCGCTCTGTAGTGAGGGTTACATAGTCTATCGTTCCTCGATTGTGTCGGAACTCCATCCACGACTCGGAGTTCAATCATCCGGACTATAAGGAGGGACTTCTCAGTCGCTCCACCTGATAAGGTACTTGGTATTCACTGTCTGACCTTTCGATGCGGAGGAGATTCAAGGTAGAGAAAACGGTCATCATGACAAACTTGTCCGTCGTCATCGTGGCAGGCAGGGGCACGTCAATGGTCACCAATGTCTTAAGTCTATCGGGGAAGAGCATCGCGTAAACGTGCCCGATGCCTCCGCCCATGGAATGCCCTGGAAGAGCGAGGGATAGCCATTCCTTCAGCTGGTTACGGATAACTCATAACGGCGACGGTTCCGAGATTCTTCGTTCTTACCGATTATAGTGAACTGCTCCCAGTCGTAGTAGTCGGCGACACGCTGTATATCCATGATGAAGCTGTTCGGAGAATAGAATAGACCGGGCGCCAAATGGGACGAGTAACCGTGGCCTATGAAGTCCAGTGCGATTATCCTACGGTAAACTTGTCATTGACCTTTTTTCTGCCACGTAATCCACTTGGGCTCATGGACGGGGAAAAACTGCAGGATACGAACCTGTACTTGGGCTTGAGATAAGGTATGAGCAGATCAAACGAATTCGCGTTGTCTTGCCATCCATGGAGAGCTAAGATGGGTTTCGCACTCGCGTCGCCCCACGCTTTCGCCGCCAAAGTACCACAGGGGGTCGGGATGCGGATTTCTTCCAGCCTTCGAAAATTCAAGAGGTTCTGGCTCAGTTCGGGATCGCATTTCAAATCGTCGAAGTCGCCGGACATTGGTGAGGCGGACGGCGGTATGAAGAGGAATCAAAATTGGAGAACTCACTTCCACTGGTTGGTGTAAGCTTGGATCTCCCTCCGTGAGGTTCTTAGTATGGCCGAGGTCGACTTCGCTCTCAACACGGCGCGCCCGCAGAGCGCAAGTGCTTGGATGCTCATGCTGAACAGGTCTTAACTAGAAAGAGAAATTTCTCCGTAAGAAGTCTACATGACATCTGCTGCTATTTCTCTCAAGCCTTGCATGACTCTCGGGACCCTAGCGATCTCTTGAATCCTACGTTCTCGTGCGAGGATCCGACAGCAGATCGAAATTGCTCCACCATCGGCACATAAGAGTTTTTGACGGTATGCGGTGTGTGAAGAGTAGTGAGACCTGAGTCTAAGATTGACGTTCCCACAGCGAAGTCGGGAGCCGAAATCTCACGTAAGTCATCCAACGTGCGTCATTAAGGATGCGTAAATCTGTGCGTATGTGTTTGTAGGTATGAATGTGTCCAGTTATTGTGGTACTTTCCATAAGGGTAGAATCCATCGGGGCACTTCGTCATGCGAATGTCCCACCCATGACGACCTTCTCAGGGAGATGGCTGAAGAACACCCGCGATTGCTTATCCTCCACGTATAAGAAAAAGAGGGGCAGACCCGATACTGAACGTGTTTATGAATATTTGCACACGCCTTTCTGGGTGGTGGTCCATCAAAGGAGACGGTTCGAGATCTCGCATAACACGAGATCTTTATGAAATAGAACTGCAATAATTGAATAAGAGGTCAATATCTCCGTCTTCTTCCCATCCCCCCGATTAAGGACTACGTCGAGACCAGCTTCGCAGTGTGGAAGGCTTTCTTGGGGGGCTTTTGGAAGCCTGACCCGGGCAGCCTGTCTAGGTCGCTAGGGGCGGTTGTCGAAACTTGTCTTTCCTTTGGGCGACTGAAATCCCGTTGTCTTCAAGACTTTCACGTTCAATCTACTATCGATTCCCCGTAACTTTGCTCTTGCGCGGACTCCGACCTCTGTCGTTCCGAGGCGGATGGACTTTCCTGTTCCCACGGGCGCCATGGGTCAGAACTACGAGCTCATGCTGAATCCGAATTCCGGAGGAGCTCTAAATTTCGCCTGGTATCTTTTCCGATCGGTACAATTGCCGATTCCGGAAAATCCCCTTGAAACTCTTGTCGTAAGAAGTATTGAACTACTATAATCCGAATCATCCTGACCCTGGCGATCATGCCGGAATTTTGCGGGAACAACGGAACCGGAAAATTGAAATTCACCACCTATCGTTCACACGCGTCGGATACTCATGGATCGACGCGCGTGCGAACTGATGCAGGTCTACTCTTTTCGGAGGACGAGTACGCTCGACCGTAGTCTCCCGGAGACATGTAAGAGTCGCACCAGCTTCTGGGGTATGTCCCGTCATGCGAGCATCCCGGCTCCCCGGATAGCCGGCTTCTATCGCTCACGAATTCTACTCATACCGGCGGAGTAAGCGGCTCCCACAAGATTTCGTTCTCTCTGGTCATGCGAGATCCTTGTAACTCTGCGGAGCTAAAGCTCTAGAGGACTCTGGATGGGGGAGGTGATGCGCCGGAGTACGAACCTGACTCGAAGAAATCACCTGAGGTCCCCCGGTTCAGGAGGAATCACCTGAATCCCCCGAATCTCTCGCCTCTCAGTACAGGTGTTCCGACAAGCGTTCGGTTTCTGCTCAATGACAAGCGGGACCCATCACGCGAAATGGTAAATTCGGTGCTCTTGTCGAACGCTCCCGAGCGCGAAGGCTGACGGCACAAATAACAGAACACGCACAAGCGTATGACGCCGGGCTCAGGACTCCAGCTTTACGCTGCACCTGGCGGCACTCGAAACCCAAAGATATTGTATATCCGTTTCAATAGAATTATCCGGCGAAATAGAATGTCACCTGGAGATCCGAGGCAGTCCTCTCCTGTGTTTATGATTGAGAGGAGGAAACTGCGCCCAGCGCCCCCTAGTCACTGTGATCGCACGTGGTTACCCGAGCGGATTCGATTTTCTGAAGATCCATGTGAGCGGAGGAATGCCAGTGTTTTCTCTAGTGGATGAGTGACTTACCTTACGAATACGAATTTGCACCTTGAAGTGAATTCTGATGTCATGGAGGTGAGGTGTCTTATACAATAACAGTCGCGTAGAAGGGACTTCCGCAAGTGAGGGATACCTCCTGGTTTCTCGGTTGCGTAGAGCACACTATTAGTAGACATATCGCATATGATGATAGAGAGTCGCATGCAAGGAGCATTCGCGTGTCAGGAACCTTCATCGTCTGCCCCGAGGGTCTCTCATTATCGATCGGGAAGCCAGAAACGAATTGTTCGCGGATGCGACGGAAGCTCTCATGATGTCACCATTCGACGGAGCCCACTGTGGCAGATACGCGCCGTGTGCTTGTCTATGTTCCGTAGTCTCATCCTGTCCGCTGAATAAGTAGAAAAATAGGCAACGTCGAGTTCTCCTCCTTCCCTCAAGGAACCAGTCGAAAGCAGTCGTGGGGAACGAAAGATGGAGCGCAGAGCGTTCAAACCTAGGATCCAGAAAAATCGATTGGCAGAAATTGAGGCCAACCTCAAGCTTCTTTTGGCCAAAGGGATTAAAATGAAGAAGAGCGATGCATCGATTCTGGCGACTGCACCACGGGTAAGGGAGAATTCTCAGCGTGCCGGTTTCTTCGGGAAACGTCCGGATCCTCGAAAATACTTCTCCGTGAATAGTGAAAGAAACAATGAATGAAAATTCAGGAGTTGCTGCGACCAATCACAATGGAGCTTTATGCATCTCTCACGTCCTTCGAGAAAGCCGAATTTCGACAAGGATGCCGGAAAATTGTCGATGGCCAAGTCAAAATCGACAAGGATAAATTACGTCAGAATCTCCTCGAAAGAGACAGCATCAGGTTGGTAGTCCTTTCTGCATGCAGAATTTTCGGTGTGACGAGGGGGGTGTGCTTAGATCGGGCTGCGAGAGACATGATAGAGATGAGAGGACAAAGAAGGGCTCGGAGAAGAGTTCGACCTCGATGATTGTCGATTCCTTCGCCCTGACTCCTTGAGCCTGCCGCTCTGAATCTGCCGGCTTGGAATACTCGAAGTGGGATGGCTGTCACGTCACCATATATATGAGCTCGATCACAATCATGGTCGTATGCGTCAAACCTTTATTCAATTTCACTGTACAATACCCCTCTTGCATCACCGATGCTCAGTTTCCCGTAGTAGCTGGAACTTGACGTTAGGAATTTTCTCCGAAACAATGTTTTTTGACGGGATCGATGTAGGTGTTTTCATTCCGCACACTCTGCGATGACGTCCTGCATTTGGTCAGGCAAAGATCAAATTGAGTTTGTACGAGCGCATACAATTTGAGGGATTTCGGGCTCCGACCCAGGCGTCCCAGGACCCTTTCGAGCGTGGGTCGCTGTTGGGGACGTAGACAGCACGAAATACAGAACTCGTACGAAGAACAACAGCCGTCAGCGCATGAATCGCACGGATATCTGCGGGTATCGGTTTTGTTAGAGGGTAATCATATTCGTACGACGTCAGACTCATGAAGCGATCCGGAATTTTCGTACCTCTCGAGGCCTTGATCGGCATCGCAGCAGCCCGAGCTCAGAAGCAGAGTCCTATTGCACACATATCCTCGGTCATCGGCAACCCATTGTGGGCCCTGAAAATAGCCCATGAGAATACTGTTTGAATTCGGGGCCTTCCCCGATGGATGTCATGATCTTGATCGATCCCGAGCTTGTGACTATTGATAATGATCTAGCGACGATTACGGCGGAAAGCGTGGCTTCGAAGAAGCCCCAATCACCTGGAGAGAATTCCGGCATGTCAGGGACGTAGTGTTCGTGGTCCAGCGAAATGAGTTGGCGGGCAACGATATCGAACCCATTTCCGAACCGTCGGCGCCTTGACCGACCCCCGGTGAATCCCGGAGGACAGTAGTGACGCAGTAAATGAGGGAAGCTGAGAAGATTAAGCCCAGTACAAGTTTCTTACGGAAAAAACGAATGAACTGACTGGCGTTAATCATCACATCACATCCCCTGGACCGCGAATTACGGATATGCGCCTCTTCAGCGACAGACACCGCTTCATAGTGTCAAAAATGACAAACACCGAATGACGGCCAGCTGAGCGGCATGGTGACTGGAAGGGGAGAAGCACAACAGAGCGCTGCCGTGTGTGTGAAGACCAGAAGGCCTTACTGCTTTAGAATGAATCCCGATCTGGATTGTTTATTTTCGGTGGGATGGCTCGTGTCTGGTAATCTCCACTCGAACCTGGACACTGCGGCCTTTGCATTTTGGGCGCGTTTTTCGAATCTTTCACAGCGGAGGCGAAAGACTTGTCTCGTTCACAGAGTACCCGATAGGGAGTCGGAGTTTGGGATCAGAGCTACGGCGTGAGCAGTAGCGTCGATCCAGGGGTTGAACTCCCGGAGGTTGGAATGAACGATAGAATAATCCATGAACGATAGGTTTGTAGCTAACCCGCCTCCTTATCAGATCGTTCCTCCTGTTCTCAGGCTCGAGAAGCTCCAGGATTTTGTCCTCCGGCGTCGGCAGCAGCGGAAGCAAGTCATCGAGGAACGCTCAGATATAGACCGGAAAGAGCCCGGTGCGTTGCTAAGGTTGGGCGCGCTGAAAGAGAAGCAAGCGAAATATGCTCTGACAGGGAAGAATGTGGTAAGCTCCCAGAGGATCGAGCAGCTCAGACGCATCCGGAGGTGGAGACTTCCGGGAAGCTCCTTGCTTTATAGGCAAACTCTTGCATCACTTCTATCGTCGTGAGAGTTCTCCTCATCTATCTCCTCGCTCCTCGCTAATCAAACCATCACCCCTTCCAGGCTTACGCGTTCGCTGCCAATATCGATGGACTCGAAAATGATCTATCCCGTAAGAAACGAAGATCCGGCGACCAGAATAATGCGACCGAGAAAAATGGCAACAAGGCATGGGAACTGCCTGCAAGCATACCATCAGTTGCGAAACCGGAACGGTCCCAAGCTGTCTCCGACCCCGAAAAGGCGAAGTCGAACATCGCATCTGCGACCGCCGGTAGGTCGTGTGGCTGATTTCCGGCTAGCTCGACATTCGGGAGAGTTCCTGGCGTCGACATGCTTATTTCGTGTGCTCAGGGATTCCTCTGCCCCACTTCTAGGTCTAAAGACTGCTTACACATATTTCCTGGAGAAATGTAAATTCAGCATTGGGGACCAAAAGAAAGCAACGTGAGTGTTCAGAAGACTCATTCGAGATGACTCTTCATGCCCTAGGAGATACTCGATCATTCGAACAAGGCTATATAGAAGTCCGTCATAAATCGTCAGCCTAATTCACTACTCCCGTTTTGATTCTCGATACGAAGGATCAAGCGGAGATGCGAAAACGAAGGGTTCCTTCTGGACGTGTGCGGAAAAATCTGTGCTCTGCATGTCTCCCAGATGTTTGTACAACTTGACGATTTCGCTGAGCCAATGAATTGGTTCAACGAGGGACAAGTGAGTTTTTCCGCAGATCCGCGGTCGATTTGGAGAAGCTCTCCGTATCCGATCCCACCGTGAAGGGATCAATAATCTGGAGTTCTTCCAGGAAGTGACAATATTCGTCCGCGATGTTCTGGAAATCGAGCAGTGCCCCTTCCTGATGCGTGTCAGAGGATTGACGGGCAATTTGATAGCCTCCACGACCCTCATCCCACCGGATAAGTGGATATTTAAGGTGCGTTAGCCAATCTCAGCGTTTCTCACCTTCGGGTTCGCTTTTTTAGATACTCCCCTGGGGGGAACTTGATCCAAAGGAAGGAGATTTGTGATTTCAGGTATCAACGCAGTTTTTGACTTTCAAATGTCCGGCCGACACGGCTTACGACGACAAACTGACGGTCTGTCTGACACCGACGATCAAGGGTTTCATTCCCTTCCAAAACTGGGACGACAAGCTCCTTTACTACGCTGCAAAACTGAACGACGGAGCGGCTATCAACGTTTATACATTCAGACTGGATAGGAATATCGGAAAATTTACCGATTTCATGGCTTCCAGAGTTCCGAAAGATGTAAGCTTAGGATGATTATGCTCCGTTCTTTTTGTCGGGGAATGCCTTCATAATGAGAGGGGTCGGTGCTCTCGCGGTGGAGATTCCCTGATCAACGCCCGTTCTTTCCTAAACAGGAGTGCTACAAACTACAAAAAGACATTGTCGTGCCCATCATCCGGTTCAATTATTCCGCGTTTCTACTTCCGTGTAGGGCTCGTTTCCAAAGCTGGAAGGTAGGACGGTTGTCCTTAGAGTATGATTCCACGGACAATTCGAAGTTTCAGAAGACTTCCGTTTGCTTACAGTCTATTCCTTCCAGTTCTATCTGCCCTTGACTGAAGCGGACGACAATTACTCAGAGACGGACCGACACGACAAGCTCGTTCCGTGTTTGGGTGTAATCATGGCCATCAACGAGAAGAAAAGAGTCGCTATTGTTTCAACGAGAGTGTCTCGTCTGAAGGTGCGCGAAACTCGGGCGGGGAAATCTTGTGTGCTTAGTTATTCCAATATAAGTATCACACATTTGCTGACAGACTAGAGCGATAGGATTATTCTCATGATGTAAGTCAAAAAATTTCAGAGGGCCACTCGTGAAACCACGCTGCATGGTCTCTTCCCGAAAGGTCCAACTGCCGTTGAAGATCGCGGAATAATGAACGCGAGATTGATCCATGGCAAAAAGGTAGCCCATGTCCCGATCGAGGAGAGGCACCACAACTAGACCCAAAACCCTTCTCACTTGAGATAGCTGATGACTTATCGGGAATATCCGTCGCCTGTGAGATATTTGCGTCTCCCTGAGTGATTCTTCTTACGACGCAGGGAAGCGAGCTCCGAGGTTTCGTTGTGAAGAGCAGGGACGATGATCGAACGAAAATCCTCCTCGGCATGGACTACATGTGGCCAATCATGGGTCATTTGAAGGACGATACCGGAACTCTGGTGAGTTCTCCAGAATCTGGAGATGGCCATCGACAAGTTTCCCATTGCCTTTCGATCTAGAGAGGAAGCTGGGAGAGGATCGCCAGATCGGATCGGGACGTGACAATCGTTCCCTTCGACGGGGCTTCAATCTTCAACTCACACCTTCCACTTGGGGACTCTATTTCGTGTATGAGCTCTTGATTAGGATAAACCAATCCTTCCAGCGTAAACGCTTGATGCATCTGTCCGTGGTGAGGGTCAGACTGTTGGAAGACGAATTCGAGACGGCAAAAGGTGTTGTCGTCGAGCTCGCGGAAGCTTCCGACCCGGAGACGATTCCTTCTGCTCAGGATGAGACGGAAGAAGAGCAATCGGAAGAAGGGCACGAAAACGGAAACAATTCGCTCGATAATTCCACCTTGACGGAACTTGCGGATGAAGAAGGTTTCAACTGGGACTACGATGCTCAGCCAAACCTCAGCGTACTCGCTCGAGGTGGGTGATTTTCCCCCCTCTTCCTCGTTTTATGTTGGGAAAGAATGGCACGCAAGGTTTTCATATGGCTTGCTCACACATATCAACAGAACAAACGAAAGAGGACTCCGACTCGTCATCCTCCTCCGACGATGATGAAGTTCCAACAGCTCCGAAGAAGAACAAGAGAGAACGAGAGGAAGACCGGCGTAGGAAAGAAGCTGCCATCCGAGATGCTGAGCTGAAATTGACTTCTCCTGCGGGTGCAGTGAGTGATACCGTGCATTATTTTTTTCGAGATGCGATAACTGACGGAAGCCGAATACGTTACGAGGATTATTCCGCGCCTCTCTCTCTCGACAGACAAACATGCCTAAAACTACGGAAGAGTTCGATCGTCTGGTGATGGCCGATCCGAGTGACGGCTCCCTATGGGTGAAATATATGGCGCACCATTTGCAGCAACTAGAAGTTGACAAGGCGAGACAAGTGGCCAAGCGGGGTCTGAAGTTCGTCTCAGGGTGAGAGCAGCACCAGAACGGTCATGGTTCTTGATCGATGTATTCATTTGTGCATGAGAATCGAGGATTCACGATCCAGGACAGGAATCGAGGATTCGGGGTAAATCGGCTTCCTTATTCCAGAAACGAAGCGGACAAACTCAGCCTATGGCTTGCTTCTTTGAACTTGGAGAACATGTACGGCACTCAGGAATCGCTGGATACAGTCTTCAAGGAGGCTTTGAAACAGAACGACCCAATCAAGGTAGACCACGGAACTCTTGGTGACTGACGCATGGGAACCCGATCGACAAATCGACCCAATCGTCAACTGAGTGCAGCGCTCATAAGACAACATTTTTTATTCCGATGAAGGTGTACTCCCATATGGCGAAGATCTACGGAATGACCGGCAAGAACGAACTCTGCCGAGAAATCTATCAGATCATGTTGAAGAAATTCAAGCAACACCGGGAGGTGAGTTCCAAGAATCGAATTCGATAGACATTCGAGTCTTCATCAACTCGTTGGGGAATGGATCGGTCGGAGTTACCTGGGTTCCGAAGATCGCTCAACGACTTGAATTTTCTGACAGGTGTGGATCGACTTCGGCTCCTGGCTCTTCGATAGCGGCTCCTTGCAAGAAGCTCGCCAATTGATGAAACGAAGCTTCAATTCCCTCACAGAGAAAGAACGTGAGTGGAAACGCCCGTGCTTGACACTCCCGTACCAAAAATGATTTCTTCGCTTCTCCGCGTCCCCTTGACGGGAGGAATCGATTTCCGGGGAATCACCAACCATGTTGTAATTTTTTCAGACGTGGAAGTCATCCTCAAGTTTTCTCAGTTGGAATTTGCGAAAGGAGAACGTGATTTCGGCAAGAGTCTGATGGATAACTTGCTGCTCTCGTACCCGAGAAGACTAGATCTTTGGAATGTGTACATCGATCAACTTGTCAAACTGAACGATTTCGATGCCGTGAGGTACTGGCTGGATCCAAATCTGTCCAGGGATCTATACTGTATATTCAGCCGGGTATTTTAGCGGGCGACGGCCTCAAGGAGGCGAAAATCTTCAAATGACTTGTTCGCGATTTCAGGATCAACTTCAACAAGTTGTTGAGTGCCAAACTCCCGGTTCGGAAAATGAAATCCGCCTTCAAGAAATGGCTCGATTTCGAAACGAAGCACGGCACACCTGAGAGCCTCGAAGAAGTTAAACAAAAAGTTGTTGACTATATTGATCTCGATCGGACCTGATGCGGAGCTTGAGGGAGCGATAGTGAATTTTCGCTCCGGCTCAAAATATCCGTGCGAGCGAATTAATTATTTCGTGTAACGAAATAAATTCGTACGTTATCAGAACGCCTCATGATTTACTCGATAGACACCGGGAGTGGGCGGATAAGATTCGGACTTCTAAGAGCGCAAAGTACAATCGAAGTTGTCCTAGTCATCGTCGTTAGTTCAGTGAGATGCCGCTGCTCGAATCTTTCCATCGTGGAGACGCGCGGAGATCTCGGACCGACCCGATCGTGACATTCTGTCTGCACCGCCTTCGACACGCGACCTCCGTGGACTCCGTTCGGAGTGCGAGAGATCCTAGACTTCACCTGAGCGATGAGCCAGAGTGAACATCTGCTCCCATGTAAGTACAATACTATACCGGCAGAATATTCCATTTTGAGAGAAGACGCTCAAGGAGGTTAATTATCGATCTGGGGACGCGGCCGCCCTATGCAACCCTTACCGGGGAGTTTTGATTCCGGGAGTGATATGCGTCTGCGCGAACATATCGCTCTCTCCAGGTATCGCTTGCTCATATTCGGATGACAAAGGGGTGTAAGTGCTCGACACGGTCCTTCGGCAAGCGGTGGAGCGGCGGGCCGAACCGCGACTCGGGGAAGGGTTCTCTCGACCTCAGGATGTGGAGGAAGCAGAGCGGACTCGGCGCGCGGTATTTCGCCCACTTTCGCGGGTGATCCTTCCGCTCCCAGCTGAATTTTTCTTTCTTTGAACGATTGTCACTCCTCTTGGGACTCCTTGTCGGGAGAAGCCGGCTCGGTGCCCCTGCCTCTGGAATGCTGGATTTCGCACCCCTTCCTGAGCATTCGAAACGCGTGTTCGGCGCCGCTTTTCCTTTTCCGTAGGAATGCGATGACACCGTACCAACCCCTCGACGCCAAGAACGCACTCGGAAGCCGCGATTCGATTACAGTCAAATCTCGATATTGGAGCGCGTCGAACAGAAAAGCGCCATCGTCTCTCTGCGTAAACCAGATTTATTCAAGCACGGGTTAAATTCTCGAACGCTTCCCAGCTCGACGGAGGGTGACTCTCTTTCAGATGAAAGATCATCATCATCCATCCACTATGAACGGGCCGTACGAAAGGTCTTCTTAGATTCTCGCGGGGATTTCTGTTCCGACAAGCGAATTATCTGACTCACGAGTCACAAACCATGCTCAGCAGCGGGTCGTCTCCTTTGTTGGGCTGTTGTTTTTTCCGACGGAAGCGCCCGGATTCGAGTGGGTCGGAGGTAAAAATCATCGACCGATTCTCCACCGTTCATATGTTGACAGATCTCGTCCCCATACGGTCTGAACGACCCGTATCCTCGCGAGGATTCGTCTGATACCTTACGCTGGGAGACGGATCTCCGTCGAACTACACGACCGTACAAACATAACCTGACATCTACGCACTGGCATCATCCTCCGTACCACAAACGTATCGAGTTCGCTCGAGCGGGCACCACACATTGCGTAAACAACGCTGACTTCGCCTTAAATTCCGGAACACCGCCATCAAAATTTTTGAGAAACTCATCGGAGGGTCTCCACCTGAGGTTAATTCATTCGTGATCCGCCTCTACAGCCCTGGGTCTTCCCATGGGGAAAAGCCGGCAATCGAGAGGGAAATAGTGCCCTTGAACGTCATGGTAACAGCGGGCTGTGGAAGCTTGACAGGTGCTGTGGTACTTTTACAGTTTAGGTCCAAGCAGTCGCCTTTGCTGCTGCCGAACCAACCAAGTTACAACTAATAAGTGCTGTCTTGTTTGTAAGATCTAAACGAACTGAGTCCTTGGATACAGTGAGGCCGGAGAGCATAGAAGGAACTTTTAAGTATTAGTGACTTCGAATCCAGAATGAGCCAGGATGAAAACCAAGAGTGTCCCTTGTGTATGGAAACTCTCGAGCTGGACGATTTATCATTCTTCCCTTGCATTTGCGGATACCAAATCTGTAGATTTTGTTGGCACCGAATTCGAACCGACGAGAATGGACTCTGTCCCGCGTGTCGGAAGCCATTCTCGGAGAATCCAGCGAACTTCAAGCCTCTATCGGTCGACGAGATGCAACAGAAGGCGAAGAAAGAACGTCGTGCCAAGAAGCAACGTCTCATCGAGAACCGAAAACATCTGCAAAATGTCCGTGTGCTGCAAAAAAACCTTGTGTTCGTGGTGGGACTTCCGACAAGATTGGCTTGTTCGGAGCAACTCAAGAAACACGAGTGTTTCGGCAAGTTTGGGAAGATCCACAAGGTTGTCGTCAATCAGAGTACGTCATATGCTGGATCGCAAGGGCCGAGCGCAGGCGCCTATGTCACCTATGTTCGGGGAGAAGACGCGTTGCGAGCCATTCAAAACGTGAATAATTTACGGATCGATGGAAGGACCCTCAAAGCCTCGCTAGGAACAACTAAATATTGTAACCACTTCCTCAAAGGTGGCCATTGTCCCAAAGCGGACTGTATGTATCTGCACGAACTGGGGGACGAGGCGGCATCTTTCACCAAAGAGCAGATGCAGGCTGGAAAACACACAGAATACGAAAAACGGCTACACGAAGAACTGAGAGCGAAGGAAGCAACCATCAAAGAGCACAAAAGCCGCGTCAGCCCCTCGCCGACAACGGAGAGAATCGGAATGTGTATGGGAGCTCCGCAATGTTCTCCTCAGCAGACCACGAATCGTGCCAGACACAAATCCGAATGCTCGTCCGAAGAACCCTCGTCGTGTGATGATCAGAAATCTCCAACTCCACTATCGGAACGCAGTGATTCCCCCACTGACCAGGAACTTGGACCGCAGGACGAAGCGCCATTGGAAGAAACAGGAGAATACGATGAGTACGACACCTCGTACGGAGATCAATGCCAAGATAGACAAAGACAGACCAGAGAAGAACGGGACCGAAACCATGTCCAGCAGCGTTCTGCGAGCCCTCTTCTGTCGCAGCGGAATCACAAGAGCCCTAGCGATAACAGATTGTCTCCAACGACAGGCGGCGACATGTGTACCGGCGTCGAGCGGTTCCTCGATCAAAGCGGCCCGCCAATCAACAATATACACCTCCTCCAACAGCAGCAGCAGCAGCAAGCATCGCCTAGTTCGTCCTCGTCGAACGCGAATCTTCACGCGGCAGCCGCGATGGCCGCGGCAAATGCGACAGCGGCGGCAGCCGTAGCCAATGGTGGTCAACCGACCAGTCTGGTGAACGATAATGAATTGGACTTCGATCCTTTCTATATCTCTCAAAAAGGACTGGCTGATCTGATCGAGCGGGAACAGCATCATCCCCATGAGCATATGCCCCCTCTGAATGCGCTCGGAGCTTTTCCTTTCGGCAGAATACCGCAAGCAACAACCTCCCCGCCGGGAATGCCGCTTCCTCCGGCTCCACCGACCGCGAACAGCTTCCTGCAGAGCATGCCTCCTCTCAGCTCGCCTCATTCCATTGTCAATTCGGCATTGTCTGTGCAATCTCACACACCGATGAGAAGAGCACCCCCACCCGGTTTCGGTCCACCTTTGACAGCACCCACGCCGCCGCAATCGCAAGGACCCTTCAATCCATTCACTCAAGCTCCTCCTATTCCTGGCGGAGCTCATCCAATGTCTCCGTTTTTCGGTCAGATGCCGACAGGCAGCGACCACATGGGTCAAGGGTCACCGTTTGGACCTTTCAGGGGTTTCGCCAGTGGCACAAATACTCCACCAGGAATGCCTCAACGACAGATCGGCAGTGGCAACGGCGGTGGTGGTGGCGGCGTCGGCGCCGGCATCGGAGTCAGTGGTGGCGGTGTCGTAGGCGGTGGCTTGAGCACAGCTCACCACGACGATCTTCTCAACATGAAAGAACAGCAGGACCAGTTGCGACAGCTGCTGCCCTCGGTGAATATTTCGTTTGGACCGCCTCCCTCGTCCACTCAGAACGCCCCTCCTCCCGGACTGCAGGGGATGTTGGGTCACCGTCAGAGCCCTATGGGTCTTGGACTGAGCCACGGAACTCACGCGGGACATTCGGGCAGTGGCTGGAATGATGCGCTTCATGATCCGGCTATTCTCTCGTCTTCGAGACATTTTCAGAATGCAACCACCACTGGGCCAGAACAGAGGCCGCCGTTCTTTTAATGCACGCCGTATTTTTGAAAATACGCCGCTTGATGAACTCAGAGTCGATAAATTTCTAGTGGACGCAGCCGCCGCCGCCGTCGTCGTCGCCAACAAAAAAACGACGGAATCGACCCTCCGCGCCGATCGACCGCAACAAATATCAAGCAGAGTGACTAACGCCAAAGCGGGTCAAAGTCTCTTTTCCTAACGGTCTAATAATGTTGTACGATGGAGCTCGCATGCACCCTCTCTCGTTTCCTCCTTCTCCTTCGACAACAACAAGGATCCAACAACAAACTGCGAATTGCCGCCGAGGATAGCTACAATAACTACCAGAGCATCGATCATCTCCGAAGGGGATCTCGAAGAAGCTGGCTCTCCGGCATTACTTGAATTCATCACTCGGAGCCGTGCTCGAGCACAACTTTATTCGGCCGCTGATACTGACATTATATCTATGGATCTTGCGAGACAATTCATGAACGAAATGAGAATTCGTGTTTTGGGATTTCTGCTGCGAAACCAGGGACCGCATTCGAGCCGAAATCCAGCCAGTATCGGTTGCTGGAAGACCAGGACGGGTCTCGAACGGACAGTCGTTCATTCGGCTCACACACGATGCAGAAGGTCGCTAATCCTAAAGGATCGTCAGCTGAAACCAGGGAAATCCGTTTCCTCGTCGGAGGCACCTCCCCCGAATCGGGAGAACAATCCGAAGTCATCTTTCGTGGCGCATCATCGGCTCTCCATCGGGGCCAAATCTCGGGAAATAATCTGATCCCCATGCCACCCACGAGGGATAACATCGGGATTCGACCGAGTTCGTCGCTCGAGTGTCATCGCTGTAAGCGGGGAGAGAACATAATCTATGTCTCTGGTGAAAGCAGTTTTCGAAAAAGTCGAATTCCGTTGAGGAATTGTCGCATTGGCGGTCCAAACTCTCATGAGAGGACGGAATGTCTCGCAAGCCACAAATGATGAGCTTCACGTTGCGCGGCTAAGCGGCTCTCTGATTTAAGACGTTGGAGTGAAAGGAGGAGACGGAAATATTGAGACTCGTATCTGATTGCCGAGAAAAGTGTTTCACCAATTGAGGAAGAAGGGCGAGTCGTTGACTTTTCTTTTGCGCGGCAAGCTCATCGTGAACTGACTGCCGAGCGCGCGGTGATGACCACGTTCATCGAGTTGAGGTTGACGGGGTAAACCTGGGCGAGGAGAGGATCAAGTGAACAGGGCTGAACATGAGGGGGGCATACAAACAGAGTCTGTATCAAACAGACAACAAGAAGCGGAAGAACAGATAAATGAATATAGTTAAAATAAACAAATTGAACGCTAGAGACCGTTTTCTTCTTTGCTCGGTACATGAATCGGCCTCGATCGTCCAGACGAGGGATTTCAGATGAAGCGGAAGCTTGCGCGGGGCGAGTCTCACCCGGAACCACCCGATTTAGCTGAAACGTGGAGAGGAGAAGGAGTGTTCATAAGAGCCGTGGAATCCGCACCCCGGAGGCGGGACGGACGAAATCAATTGAAGTCGATCCGACCGAGGGAGTTTGAACTGTGATCTGCCTCAATCGGTCGTCTCTATTCTGTGTCGATCAAGTCGTCAGCTCTCGGAAGCTGAATTCTAAAGCTAGATAACTCGAGAGATTCCGGCCTTCTGCTGGCACCTTCCAGCGGTCTAGACAGGGTAGAGAAGCAGCATTCCGATCATTCCCCATCAGATGCGGAGAAATGAGCTCAGGCCCTCGATCGGCAGCATACTCGATATTCTTCTAATTGCAGACATCTACAGGGGCCCCGCTAGATCTGGATGTGAAGCTCTCGACATCTGATGAATTCGCATTCGACATTTGATCGTCTCTTCAGTCCATGCCACGCAGCGAATATTCAGGGCGGGTTCCAACTTATATTAGCTGATAAGCTGCTCCCGCCTGATCCGATGTCTCGGGCAATCCGCGTGGTTCAAGTGTCCGTCGAGCAATGCTTCAAAACTCTTCGAATTCCTGGAATGGTGATGGATTCTCGCCTCTGGTGTTGGTTCAGAAGCTTTCTCGGTCGACAAGATCTCGATCGAGCTGGGTAATTAGCGAGGCAACAGAGAGTGCTCTCATCGCACGGATCTTTGACACCTCTTCCGAGCTGCTATGACTCGCTCATGCGAGATTGTCCGCCTGGAAGGAATGCGAGCGCTGATCAGCCGCACGAATCGGCGGAAAAGATCGCTAGACTATGAAACGCTCGCCTGAACGTCAGGATCTTCAGACTCACGATCCGATGAATCCAATATGATGAATTGGGTTCGGACTCACTCCTAGGTAGGGACGCTATATGACCGGACATCTTTCCTTGCCTAAGCCGGACATAATTCGGACGGACAATATCGCGAGAAAAGGACAACAGAATCGGACTTCTTCTTTTGTATCCGATCTATGATTCGATGAAAGTCTTGATTGTCGTTCTGTTGCTCCTCGAGTCGTTCCATCTGGTGCGACGGTCAAACGGGACAACGCAGGAGGCGTTCTCATTGTCCTCCACTCACGATGCACCAGGCCAAAGTCCATCGAATGAGTTCGGGGAACAGGTTGGCCTTGCTCCATAGGTATTCCAGGGAGACTCGGACCCGTCGCCCGTTTATATACGGATCGAAATTCTGTATCGCCCAAGCTACGGCTAAAAATTCTGTCTCCCGAAAGTGGCATTTCGTTCTCGCTGCAGTGAGGCAACGGCTGGCGAAAGCGAGCACTCACCACTCACTCCTTGCCTCCTTGAATCTGTACGAGAACTGACTCGCGTCAGTTTGGAGTCAAATCTCCAAGCCATTTCTGAAGTGACAAAGGACAGGCCCTTGCTCGTCACCTTCTCCCTCCTCCTCCTTCCTGGAAGTGTCTTCTCCTGGAAGACTCTCTGATGGACTTCTCCCCATCCGAAAAAAAAGCCTCACTCAGAATGTCATACAAAGTCGACGCAACGCCTGCGAATTTCCTGACGAATCGCCGATAGTAAGATGCTAATTCCAGACAAACTCCTTAGCTCCTTGATGTTTGAGGGAGGCTACAGATTGACGACAGCTTCCACTTTTTCCGGATCAGGGGCTATACCATTTGGGGTGATTTTCTGCCCCAGATAAGCCGCTTCCGTTGTTGCGAAGGTACATTTCTTCGCTTTCAATTTGAGCCCAGCAGTCTTGACTTAAGTGAGAACTCCTTTCAAATCGTCGAGTCGGTTTTGAAAATCCTCGGAGTAGATTATTATGTTATCCAAGTGGACTGGCGCCATCTCGTACCGTGGAGGACCGATTACCCTGTCGATGTGACGCTGGAAAGTCGCTGGATTCCATGACCGTTGCCACCAAATTCTTACGGAATAGAGGAGGTGGGAATTAAGCTTCATTCGAGCGCTAAACAGCCTTTTTATTGAGATTCACTTGCGCTGGTGGCGCCGCTTCAGTTTTCACCCCCTTTGATAGATCCCGAGGTCCTGAGGAGTTTTCGATCAGGGGCGAGAACCTTCGAGGAATGGAAAAAGTTTTGGGAAAAAGGAAAAACGCCCGTACTGCACCTCGGCATCGGAATCCGCCGGACGGAACATTTGACCACATTCACATTCTCCGGTATATCGTAGTGAATACCTTCAGTGATGTACATGTTAGAAGGTGTCCCACCGTGAACACGCGGTGCAGCCGAGTGAGTTTCATAGTAGTAGTAGTACTACACTTCGTCTCCTTCTATAGAGGGAATGATATAACGGCTCCATAGACGACCAAGTCGAAGGAACTGCGGCGGGAAGATTCGTAGTGGTGCTGCGCAAACCTTCCAACAATACAGGAAATCAAGCTTTGTGTTCGGTGTCTCTTCTTTGTTCACGATCGTCCCGGAAGGCACGGTATGCATGTCTCGATGCCGGCTCAATGCTGTGGTCTGTGGGGCTCGGAGCAGGTTATCTCCGGATGCGATTTCAGCTGAAGGATTGCGAATCTGGCCGGGCTTAATCGGAGAATGACGATATCACACTAGAGGCGACGACCAGGGATCATTAAGAATCTTCGTATCCCTTTGGAGGTTTGGAGAGGTGTACAAACCATGGCGATTCGGTCCGTCGGCGGTGGACTCGAGGAGAGAGGAGAATCTGAACATAAGGAATCTCACTCAGTTGCATTCGGAGACTACCCGCCGCACCCTGCATCCATTACAGATGTTATCAAATATTCTGAACACCGAAGAGGAATCAGTTTCGAGGAGGCTCGACTGAGAATAATCGTGGTAGTGACCGATTTCTGCGACAGTTCACCATTCTCCCGAAGCTAGCCAGAGCCGAAGCTTGGCTACGATAAAATCAAACAATCTGATCTAAATAATAAACCTAGTACCAATCTAAATCAAACAGAACCCGCGAGCTCTGTGTGGGAGCTCCCAATCGGCTTTTCCTTCATTCACATGGTATTGAGGCGGGATGCCGAAGATGTCCGAGCCACCACCTGGACACTTAGTCTCGAATATGGATTCTATAACTCGCTTCCGAGAAACGCGATCCGGTCGGAGTGCCGTGGAAGAAGTCTTGAACCAATCGTCAAGTGCCTCCTATCACGGACCTGCCAGTGCCAACTGTCGATGAAATTCTAACAAACGTGCCCCCCCCTACCGGAGGATGCTCGGCTCGCTGGGGTCAAACCCTGTATCACCTACATTCCTCTGGAGGCACGACACACTAATGAGCTGATGATCGAACACGAATCCGGAAGACTGATCGACGCTGACCGAGAGCTGTCAAAACAAATGAATCCGTTTATCGATAGAGCGGACGAAAACTAATCCTTCTGCAAGATGTCGAAAGTGAGTACTCTCGATGGACTCATATTTAGCGCTCTGATCTGCGCCCTCACCACCCATACAATGATCCAACTCGTATGGTCGAAAGCTGGAAGTGTAAGAAGAATAGGTTCCGCTTGGATCGGCCAATGCTACCTCACACCCAAATCTGAATAAAATTCCTCTGAAATCTCACTACCTGTCGTG